TTCGTGTTCGTCTTTCTTTTGCAGGGATTTGCAGAAGAAGGTGGAGATTTGTGGGGTTCTCAGCAAATCCGCTATTGGAAGCGGAGGCTCTCGAAACCTCCGGATGAAGCAGAGGATCTCATAAGGACGGAGGGGCGTTTCTGTCATTTCCGGGTGTTTAATGAAACCCTAGGTATCGTTTGTGTATCTTCTCATTCGAACCGATTAGGGTTGGTTCTTCGTTTTTCCGGCCGAGAGGCTCTCTCTCGTTCGGCGAGCTTTGCTCGGTTTTCCGGCGCCGTTCTGCGGTGTCCGGTGGTTCCGGTCCGTTGTAACCCTAGCTACGAACGCGGCTTCCTCTTCCCGAGACGTAGGCCCGAGCTTTATGCTCGGTGCTGAACTCGTATCTCGACTGTGTCCTCTGTTTTCTTTTTCCGTTCAAACACACGAGTGATCGGAGAGAATGGCGAGGCGGACCTCGACCGGGGCTGATCCACAACAGTTTTTTTATTTTGTTTTTAAATGGTTGGATGTTGCATGGGTCATGGTCGGTACTATGAAGTCACATCTTTAGGCTTTAGCTCCACGGATTCCTGGCTCAAATATACAATGCCAGTCTGACGCCATAAAAAAGATACATATATATATATAAGCTTTGAATATTTGCTTTTTTTATGGTGTGAATCAATTAATCGTAAGTAATCTATATTTACTATTTAGGTTCAATTCATGGATTTCTGTAAACGATTCTATATATAAAAATTGGATTTTTTTTCGGATTAACTTTTTATTTTATAACTTTTTTACTAATCAAAATACCTATGAATGATGATCTAATTATTTGATAAATAACATCTCCGAAACTTAAACGATAATAGTATTTTTTTCGTTAATCATTTGATTGCTTTGTCGTCATTAGTTTACTCACAATTAACAAAGCTTCCAACTTATTTTACTCACAAATAATTTGACATTATCTGGTGATTAATATATCTAGATTCTAGATTCAGGTCATATTATCTAGTTTATATATAAAAAGTCATGAAAAAAATATAAATTTATAATAATACACATTAGCCATAACCTAAATCAAAAAATTGAAAATAAATATAAGCTGTACACGTGTGCAAAAAAATCAATAAAGAGAAAAAAAAAAGCAAGTTCTTTATAAAAAAAACTTTTAAAAGCAAATCTGAACACAGAGACAAAGTTCCAAAACACACCCTTTGAGATCACAAACCCTATATCGATGATCCCTTCAAGTCCTCTACCTCGCCTGTGCGAATTTGATTCGACATTATGAAAAATATATTCTATATACTATTTTGATTTTAACTTATACTTTTTTTCATCTACGATCATATGACTAGAATTACACTCTAGTCACATAATAATAGTCACATCATAATGTTAAATTTATAATAATTACATTAATTCACCATGTTCATTTATTATATATCAAACTAATAATTTGATAAAACTATTATAAATTTAATATTATTATCTATATAATCACCATGTAACCACACTGGTAATTCTGATGACATGTTCACGCCTAAAAAAATGAGTTTGAAGTCCCGTTGTCTTGGGTTATGCTTTGATTTTTTTTGAAACCCATGAAAAGCCCAATAAACATAGCATTTGGGCTTTGGGAATGATCGGAAAGGCCCAATATAGGTTTTCTCTTTTCCTTATCGAGCAATATATTTTGACAGAGTAAATAAGTTATTCTCTAGTTAAATTAGCATAAATCTTGTATCAGAATTTTTTTTTTTAAAAAAACAAAATAGTTTTTCAATATTTTTTTTGGAAAAATCTAAAAAAAATACTGAACTTTACAATTTTGATAAAAAAACACTGAACTTTATTTTTTGTTAAATAAATATTAAACTTTTTAAACGAATCTAAAAAATACTGAACTTTTTAAGTGATCCAAAAAATACATGAACTTTTCTGCGATTATAAAAAATACTAAGGTTTGAATGAGGATGAGTTTTATTTTGGGTTTTTAGTTTTAGTTTTTGGATTTTGGTATTTAGTTTTTGGTTTTTAGTTTTTGGATTCTATAATATTTGAAAACTTAAAAAAAGTAGCTTTTGATTTTTCTTTGATTTTTCCACTAAAATGGCTTTCCAAGTTTTTAGGAAAAATAATTTTGTGAAAACTTGAATGATAATTTTTTTAGTTTTTGAATTCTAAAAACTCTAAAAACTCTAACCATTCAAGGCCTAAACCTTTTCAGTGATCCAAAAAAATATATGAACTTTTTTCGATTGTAAAAAAAACTAAGTAAAATAGTCTGACGTGTTTGCATTTTATTGTGTCATGTCATTCATTTTATTTATTTTGACAATAGTAGAAAAATTAAGTGTTTATTTTTTAAATTTAAAAAGTTTAATATTGATTTGATAAAATAAAAATTTCAGTATTTTTTTTGTCAAAATTTGAAAGTTCAGTGTTTTTTGGGATTTTTTCTATTTTTTTATAATTCAAAAATTCTTTGTATGTTCAGTAAAACTATATTTTTTAAAAGAGCGAAGTTTTGATATTTCAGAGTTAGAGATAGATTTTGGGAAAATGTTTTCTTATTATTCTCATTCATCATAGGTTCCTTAAATACAAATAGAAGAAGAGAAAGGAAAACCCTAACAAACCCTAACCAAACTAAACCAAAGCATATTAAACCAAATCAATATTTAACTACATATATATATTCTAATACGAAGAAATTGTTAAAGTGGAAAAATGAATATGTGATGGGAGTAAAATAAGATTATAGATATGATGGAGAATAATAATGGATACAATATCATTATGCCAAATATTGTGTATCTGATTTGTTTCCATTGTGTCTATATTTCCTTTTTACTCTATTTCTTAATTTTTCTATAAATATGTAGTTCATTTTCATTGTAATGTAACAAGAAGAAGAAGATATGTAGCAATAAAAGTAATTCCGTTCTTTTCTATTTGTCTTATTTTATTTCTGTATTTTATTTTTCTACATGGTATCAGAGCTTGGTTCGATCTGCTCTATATTTTTTTTTCTCAATCTTTTTTTTTTTAGTTTTAGATGTTCATATATCCAAATCGTTCAAATAGGAGTAAAAATCCCAAAATCAAACGAGGTGTTGTGACAAAAAGAAGTCAAACCTAAAAACTCTAAGATCAAGCGAGGTGCTATGACAAAAAGAGTAAAAGGTAGAACTTCAAAGTCAAACGAAGTGATTTGAACATGAGTAATATTCTCTAAAAGAACTAAATTTGGTGTTTATGAATTTTTCCTGAGACAATGAAAATGTCTGAACGGTTTATAGCATTATCGATTCAAGATTGACTTTTTTCATTCTTTCAAAGTCAATCTTGAGGGGGAATGTTAAAGTGGGAAAATGAATATATGATGGGAGTAAAATAAGATTATAGATATGATGGAGAATAATAATGGATACAATATCATTATGCCAAATATTGTGTATCTGATTTGTTTCCATTGTGTCTATATTTCCTTTTTACTCTATTTCTTAATTTTCCTATAAATATGTAGTTCATTTTCATTGTAATGTAACAAGAAGAAGAAGAGATGTAGCAATAAAAGTAATTCCGTTCTTTTCTATTTGTCTTATTTTATTTCCGCATTTTATTTTTCTACAGAAATTTATATGAATGTTTTCTTTAAATTGATATTCGAATGATTTTGCTCTAACCAATCCAATCTTGAATACATTCTTTCAATATTATTGAAACAGCAAATAAAAAAATTCAATTTCTTCAACCCTTGTGTGAGAAAAGTAGAGTACCAATCAAAGCAAGGTGCATGTCTTAGTGGACATATGACTATGCACCCGAATAAAAATAAAAAATATATAAAGATACCAAATAAACAGTAGAGTATACGTAATACTTTATTCAATCTTGAACAACAAAATCGTGGACACTTTGCTTACTTATCTCCTTTATTTCATATTAATATTAACTAATTATATAGTTACATACAAAATCTAATAGAAGCTCTATAGCCTAATATTTGAAATAGCCTCTTTTTTCTTATATATTTAGAATCTAAATGATTTATGTTCCTATGAGTTAAATACACGAATTTTGTTAAGCAATCGGGTTTGGACGGACCATTTATAAGGGAATGGAGTCACATTCCCCCCCCCCTTTTTAATTAAAAATATTTAATTTTTTATGAATTTTATAAAATTTTAATTAAAACTTTTTAATGTCTCGTTATAAAATTAAATCTACCCGAACTATTGTCCGTTTATAAAAATTTTATAGGTCTGTCACTAAAAAACGATATGTATTTTTTATATTAAAGATATATAAAAAAAACCTTAATGTTTTGGAATACAAAAGCACATGTATCAATCCATACTTCTTATTACCCTTTGAAAAAAAAAAGGAAAAAATATATTTTAATTTATAATGTTGATATCCGTTTGCTGTAACTACTTGCTAAATTACAAGCGTACAAGTTACAACTATTTAGGCCGTAACAACGACGTCGTATTGAACAGCGTTTGCGTTTGCGTTTACGTAATTGCACCGTTCCATCACTCCCGCCATTTGACACGTACACGTTTTCACACCACTGTGAATTTAAAAAAATCCATTAAACCAATTTATTTGTTAGTCATCGTGATTTTCTGCAAATTATATATATATACACACACACGCATTTACTACAGTGAAATTAGCATTATTTTACAGTAATTATTATGTCCGTTGCAAAATGTGGGAAATATCCATATCCAAGTCATGAGAAAAATGCTTCTTTACCACTTGGGACAAGAACACAAAAACATCTGAACAAAGTTTTAACCTTTTTGGGCAGAAAAAAAAATGATTGGAAAAAAAAGGGAGAAAATATCTGAGGAAGAAACTATTTCCTGGAATTGGAGATTATTATGGTCAAAGAAAGTCGGAGAAGAAATTTTACTCGGTTTCCGCTTCATTCTTTAATTCGCAAATGGGATGTTAGTGTAAAACACTTGCGAGCGACAAAAGAAGCTGCTTCGTCCCCTCCCCCCCTCTCTCTCTCTCTCTACTTCTATTCGTTTTCCGGTTCGAATCTATAGCTGTGTTTCGATATTCTCTCGAATACCCAGAATTTCGATTTCCTTCCCCTTGCCCTTTTGGCAGAAGTTTATGGAATTTTCGTTCTCGTTCGTCCCTGTTCTTTGATTTCTCAGTAGGGTTCTAGGGGTTAAGTTTTTTTTTTCTGGGAAAATTTGGTGGAGATGGGTTGTTTCTCGTGTTTCGATTCGAGGGAAGAAGAGAAACTGAACCCGCAGAGGGAATCCGAGGATCAGAAGCTATCTCAGCCCACAGTTTCCAATCATTTTTCTAGTTTATCTTCTGGTTAGTGTTATCTATTTTCGCTTGCTCATATGTTTTGATTTGTTCTGTTCGATTCCTAAGAGCCCAAGATCTGGTAATCTGATCCTATTAGGGGGTTGTCTGAAATCCCACTGTTGAATCACTTGATCTCATGACTGTTACTGGGCGATTGAAATTCCTGAGTTTTTTAGGCCGATGGGCTTGTTCTTTGATTAGACCTTAGTTGAGTCCGTTGGTGAAGGTGGAGGGAATCAAGATCCTGTGATTGAATTTTACTTGAGATTTGATCTGATTGGAAGTTATACAAGATCAAGAATTTTCTGCTGAAAGTGCCTTCCGATCGAATCGATAACGTGTATTGTTTTAGGTATCTGTGAATGAAATTCATGGTTATTGGATTTGATGTGGTGCTATAGGAGCACAGATCATGTTAGGCTTTTGATTCTTATGATAGCCGTATCTTGAAAAGGAGTGAATCTTTGCAACGATCAGGATCACAGAGATCCTTTTGCATCCGGAATTTAGTTGTATATCTCGAAAAGAAAAGATCGATGTCAAATTGTCAATGCAATCTAGAGATCTTAAATTTGTTTCATTGAGGTTTAGCTTCCGAAATCAGTGTCTGTAATTTTGGAACTTGGGATTCGAAGAACTATGAGATTTTCTAAAGAGTGAGGTCCATTGCAGGTGGGGAAAAGCTCAGAGCAAGGAGCAATGGAGCAAGAGAACTACCGAGTCCAAAGGATAATGGGGCAGGTGCACAAATCGCCGCTCAGACATTTACTTTCCGTGATCTTGCAGCTGCGACTATGAACTTTCATCCCGACTCTTTCTTGGGTGAAGGTGGATTTGGACGAGTCTACAAGGGAAGGCTCGAGAGCACCGGTCAGGTAAATTGTTTAACCCCTTTCTAGAAATCCAAAGAGAGTAGAGTTATGTCCATTGCTTGTGGATTAGATTTAGGAGGTTCTGCTTTCGGTCATCACATAGCCATGGAGTGTATGGTTAAGATTTGGCGGCCTATGTTGTCAAACTTTTGCTTAAACATCGGACAATTTGATAAAAAATGGACGTGAAAGGGCAATGCCCTCCTTTCCCTTAGCCATGCCAGCCTATTTAACATTTGTGTTTGCCTTCCGTAAATTGGTATTCTTTGATAAAGACGTGGGTTATCGCTATAAACTTGTTAATGGTTATGGATGGAGTTTAACCTTGGAATATGCTTTCTTGTTCAATTTAAGGTTGTTGCTGTGAAGCAGTTGGACAGGAATGGTCTGCAAGGTAACAGAGAGTTTCTGGTGGAGGTCCTTATGCTCAGTCTTCTTCATCATTCCAACTTAGTGAACTTGATCGGTTATTGTGCTGATGGAGATCAGCGGCTCCTTGTCTACGAATTTATGCCCTTCGGTTCATTGGAAGATCACCTTCACGGTAAAATTCGATTTACGCCCTCTAATCATTATTGCTTAAGGGCATGCATCAACAAATTCTGGCCCGGAAAAAGTGAAATAGTCAATCATATCCAGAGATGAGATTCTTTGTGAACTTAGCCAACTGATATCAACTCACTCAAGCAGGTTTTCCCTACGTTTGATGATGAAAAAGAACAGTTTTTTCAGTTATTTTTGGTAGTCATCTGACAAAAAAAAGTTTATTTTTTTAACCCTTTCGAGTCTCTATCTTTTCCAGATATTCCGCCCGATAAGGAACCCCTCGATTGGAACACAAGAATGAAGATAGCTGCTGGAGCGGCAAAAGGGTTGGAATTCCTGCATGATAAGGCCAACCCTCCTGTTATTTACAGAGATTTCAAATCCTCCAACATATTATTGGATGAGGGTTTCCACCCAAAGCTTTCTGATTTCGGGCTTGCTAAACTCGGACCAACGGGCGACCAATCTCACGTCTCCACGAGAGTTATGGGCACTTACGGTTATTGTGCTCCCGAGTACGCCATGACTGGTCAGTTGACCGTAAAGTCGGATGTTTACAGCTTTGGTGTAGTTTTCTTGGAGCTGATTACTGGACGTAAAGCTATCGATAGCGAGAAGCCACATGGGGAGCAGAACCTCGTTGCTTGGGTAAATCATCGCCCCTTTATTTCGTGCCAAACAGAATGAATATCCGGCCGAAATGTTTAAGTTTACAACTTTGATTCGGTATCTAGTGTTCAATGGCCTGATTTTTCAGAAAGTTGAAAACTTTTTGCTGCCTCTATGGTTTACATTTAACAGGCGAGGCCGCTGTTCAACGACAGGAGAAAGTTCATAAAACTGGCGGACCCGAGGTTGAAAGGGCGGTTTCCGATGCGTGGACTCTACCAAGCTCTGGCAGTGGCTTCGATGTGTATCCAAGAGCAAGCGGCTACCCGTCCCCTTATCGGAGATGTGGTCACTGCCCTCTCGTATCTTGCAAACCAAGGCTACGACCCGAACAAAGACGAGAGAAGAAGCCGTGATGAAAGGGGCGGTAAGTTACTGTCAAGGAACGACGAAGGAGGGTCTGGAAGGAGATTGGATCTTGATGGATCCGAGAAGGACGATTCCCCGAGAGAGACAGCTAGGGTTTTGAACAGAGACATCGATAGGGAACGAGCCGTGGCTGAGGCCAAGATGTGGGGAGAGAATTTGAGGGAGAAACGACGGCAAAGCGCTCAAGGAACTTCCGAAAGCAGTAACGGGTAGTACTGCTTTTCGCCTTCCGCTCTCGTCTTCTCGGGTTTTGCACCTTTTTTTCATTCCCCATTTTCACTGTGATTTGCTCTGAAACATCCCTGAAGACAGAAGAAGATGATGAAACACCAATCCCAATAGCCAGAACCAAGAGTGTACATTATGTGATGATGATGCTATATGGGTGAAACACTAATCCAAAAAATTTTGAGGAGCAATGTTCAAATTTCACGAGCTTTATGTTGTTGTTGTCTTTCCGGTGAGAGGAACATCGGATGTACAATGTAAAGTATGCAGTCTTCCTTCCTCTCTTATGATAACATTTTTTAAAAAAATCTGACTTTGATGAATCACTAAGTTTGGTGTACGGACAGATTGGATAATGTTTCTAGATTCTTCCGCTTGTGGTGTTTTGTGGCCACACCTTGTGTTCCGTACGATGTTAGCTTAATATTGGATCCTATGCTCTTGGACTTGGAGTCTAACTGTTACAGTACGAAATTATTTAACAAACCAAATAGGTGTTTAAAAAAAAGTGTTTCTTACCTTTGGATTCGGTTTATTTAATTCAAATAGAGTTTTGTATCGAAAATCTACCAAAAGAAAATCAACTAGAAATAAAGTTTTCCTTGGAATATCAATAATTTCTGAAATAATTCCTTAAAGATCTCAATGGACTCCAATGAACCAAATGGAATGGAAAGCTGATTGATATCTTGAAATATTCAAGGGCTGTGATTAAAACATCCAAACCTCAACGCCACTAGTTCAGCGTTTTGTGAAACGCAACAGCTTTTATCGCTCTTACAATTTTGTTCAAACGGCGGTTACAGTCGCAACCGCAATCGCACTAAGGATCACAAATCGCTGGCCACAGATCCATGTTAGGTCCTGCAAAGCCGGGAACTTCACTTGAGCACCGTAGCGATGATAAGTTACAATATTTTCACTTTTTTTTTAACAAAACCAAATTTTAGCTTACATAGTAACAGTAAAAAAAATATAGAATTGTAAAAACCTTGAAAACAGACGGCAGTCAAATCATGACATACTCCATCAACACCAATAGAATAATAATTACCACAGACATGTAACTTTCTTCCCCCGCCGTGACGGAGCCGACGCCGGAGATCGGAGAGAGAGAGATATTTTTTAGAATTCCAATTTTGCCCCTAAACGTTTGAAGAGGCGCTTTTCAGACAGCTTCTTGAGGGGCACACTCCACGTGGCGCTTGCCCCCTTCGCTTGACGGCTCCTTGCTAATTTTGGCAGTATCTTGACCGTCAGATGCTCCACGTGGCGTCACCTTTTCCCCTTCATCGCCGTCCGATTGAGACGTGACGTCGACAGGGTATACTTCGGACACACCTAGCGGACTCGACACCACAATCGTCTTGAGCTGCTGTTGTTGATCTGGAACCTTCTTCTCCAAGTTAGGTTTTTCGGAGTTCCTGTAGATTCCGTACAGAATCATCTGAACCATCCCTAATGCGAATCCTAACACATTCGGGATCTGCGTCGGTCCAAATTCCGAAATCGTTATAACCCTTTACCAGCCATATGGAAAAGAATGAAATTTATATAATAATTAAGACCGAGGAATTTAATGTAATGTGTGTATATATATACACTTACGGCTATGCATATGTCGCGGAGGAACAAGCCATAAGCGAACCACATAACGGCACTGATCGTCAAGAAGAATGAGAGCGTGAATGGCATGAACTCCACACTCTTTGTCCGTATCACACGAGCCTATATATATATACAGTACGTAAAAAAAGATTGGAAACTTTAGTGAAAATAAAAATTAAAAAAAAAAGTGTATATTCGTACGTCCTCGTTGTTATAGACAGAAAAATTCTGGATCATATATACGAAAAGATACGGTGATTGATCGATGCTTACAACGACAGTAAGCGGAGCAGCGAAGACGGAAACAGAGATCGAGACGCAAATCCAGCCAAGAACCACAATCCGGCTGTTAGGGTTCTTCACAAGAAAATGCGTAACGCTGAGAATCAACGAGAAGAGACCTACGTTCATGGCCATGAATAGCTTCATAGCCGAAATCTGCCCAAACACAGATGAGAAACATTCATTATTACAGAGATATATATATATATATATATATCGAATATATCACGTAAATAGATTCGGAGATTACCCTTTTGTCCTTGGAGGAGTAAGCGAAGAACAAAGCGATGTAAAGGGTCTCGATGACGCATCCGAAGGAGTTAATGGTAATTAGAAGGAAGGCGTTTCGTTTGAGAAGCGCGTAGTAGAGCCAAAGCATGCAACTGAAGAGCGAAACTTGGTACGGCAATGATCGGAAGCTCTCTGTAGATTTCTTCTTGTAGATCCTGTAGAACGTCGGCCTGAAAATAATGATAATAATAATAAAATCACACAATTTCCAAATTCGATTCAATGAAATCGATGCATGAAAAAGATCGAAATGGAAAAGTCACTCACGCTGGGGCGAGAAATACAAGGAATGATATTGCATTTCCTGTCGTTAAATAAATTCACCAAATCATGTTAGATGTCATATATATGAGTCATCTTAAAACGTGAATTAATTTCTTGCCGAACCAAAGTTCTCTAACTAATTAATGAAACATCAGAAACTAATCAATGATCCGGACACAACATCATTCGAACATACACGTGGAAAATAACTGTATAACTTTATTAATGGGAACAAGAGAAACAGAAGATGATGATCACTTTGCAATGTGTGTAGTATATGTGTTATGCAATTAAATTCGATGATGATGCTAATATTTTATGTGTATATATATATATATATCACACATTACCTAAGACTCCAAAGGTAACAGCCATGAAATGGTGATTGATCATCAAGGCCATTGTTACTCAAAACTTGATCAAGACAAAAAAGCTTATATATATAATAATGGTGAAGATTAAAGGATCTCAAGATTTTTTTCGAAACTCTAATAAGCTCTCTCTCTCCCCCCTCTTCTATGCTTCTCTCTCTAGATGTATTTTGGGCATCTCAGTGAGGAAACTAGCGGGCTTCTGAGGCTTATATATAGGGCGAAATTAACCTTTGTTGTGATTTTCTCTCTCTCTAGAATCTTGAAGTGTTAAAAAAAATATTAAGAAACAAACAAAAAAAGAAACAAAAAGAAAAGAAGAAACTAAAAGGCAAAACACACCATGGTTGCATGACAAGTGGAGAATTAGTAGGAAGCGTAGCATAATATCATTTAACATACCTTTCTCTTCTTCCCCCACGCGCAGATTCCTCGCGCGTGCACTTCACATTCCTAACATTTGTTTATATTTTTTTTGTTGTTAACCGGATGGTTATCCGGTTTTTCGGTCCGACTACATCCATCATAAATCCGAGAGCAGTTTTTAAAGAATCTGCGACAGGAATCCAGAGAGCAACACCCTCTCAGCAGATAAATACCCCCTCCCTCTCCATCGGCTGGTTTGGAACTAGCGACCAGGGTCCAAAAAGCAACATCTTTTCGTCACTCGACCACCCATTAATAGATAGATCTGTTTATGTTTTCTTGCTCTAAAACGAAATATGAATATAGGTTCTAATGAGTTCTACATTTTTATTTTCCTAACTAATAATTCGAAAAGGGCAAAATGAATGCAACCGAATGATTTTTTTTTACTTTACCACCACATTGTTTCTAAATAATATTTTAGACTGAATTTGATTCTCTCTATATATAAGTGTATATATATTTTTTTTACTTTATGACGTTATACAATATTTGATGGTCCTTGGAATAGAAGTTTTCATATATTTTTTTTTTTATAGATTTTTAAAATTTTCACCGCTATAATGATCTTTATAATGAACATTTATAAACAACTAATTTGAATATATTATGTTAAATTATTGCGTTATATATGTTTCAAATGTTTATGTAAAATTAATTTATATTCATTAAAAATGTAGCATAACCTGTTGCCGTGTCTAATTATTAATTAATTATAAGGTATGGGGCGTAATATGAAAGGTTCTGCAATTCACGTGACCTCTCCAAACTCCTTTTTAGCCGTTTCTACGGGCAAGATAATAATAAAATAATTTGATACAAAACCCCAAGGAAGAATATTGCCACGTCAGCAAAATGCTGACTAGGACCCTCTCTCCGACCATCATATGTGATTTCGTGTCCGAAGAAGATGTCCACGTGTACTCTTCCGGCTTTTTTCCCCATTTTCAGGTCTTTTTTCTTTCTCCATTTCCTCAATCACAACCAAAAAACATACGAACTCATTTTTTTTATAATTATGAATATGACCGATAATAATGTGGAAATAAATTTACAAAATGGGTCGTCGAAATTATAAGTTTCGTGTTAATTAAAAAGCGAATTAAAGAATCTAGATTTCGTGATTTTTTTTTATAATAAGAATTCGAGGACGAATAGAAGTCGAGAAAATACGGTAGCTTTCTGCATGTTTCGAGGCTCAATTTGAGCAGTTAGTCGAAGAATGGTGACAAAAGGTGTGACGTGGGAGACGGATGATTAGACGATTTTGTTTGTTAAAATCGTTCTTGTTCTTATTCGTTATTTCTTTGTCTTTTATTTGCTCCATCACTATTTTGAATTATATATATATATATTAGGATGCCAGATTTTGTGGTTCTCCACAATCAGTGTTCAAACTCCAATAATTTGTTTTGGTTGATTCTTGATTGGAGTCTATAATTTTGTTTACGTTAAGTTTCCATGCGGTTCATGCAATTTCCTAGTCCCCATAATATATTTCTCTCTTTTTTTTTTCCATTCAATTAACATATGATCGCATTCGCCTAACATTTGAATCCCGAAGAGTTTGGCATCTACGGTAGCTCATACGGTCACTTAATTATAATTTTTTTTTTAAAATTTTGCAATGGAAATTGTTTGACAGACTTATTCGGAAAGACTCATGATATACACATGATTGTAATCTTATATATCGTAAATAAAAGATTAAAAAGATAAAATAAAAGAAACATTTAAACTACATTTCCCTATCACTACCCCAATAATACAATTTGTTGGTGACAAACAACAATAATTATTTTGCACATATATATATATATAGTCACAATAAACGATATGGGTGAAATTTGATTTCCCTTTCCAGTCGTTTTCTACGTTTTATGATTGCAATCTGGTTCGTACGGATCTAGCTGTACATATTTATAACAATGTATGCATAGCTTTCAATTATATAAATAATTAAATCCGTTATTGAATCAATAAGATATAATGAATTTGCGCATGTATAAGAATATATTGAAACTCTTATTGACGTATTTATTACACTTTATAAACCGAAACTAAATTTATGGTGAAAAAAAGAACTATACAAAATTCGTCATTTAAATTGGATATGATTTTATATACCTAATTATGGTATTTTTAACGTTATTCATTGAAGATGCTCGAGATCGATTATCTGCGATTTTGTCACAACATTTTTTTATTTTATATCTATGGTCAAATCCACTGGATTTTTCAGATTTAAAGGTCGTGGATATATTTATATGATAATACATTTACAAATATATGATGTATATACATGTGTATTGTGCACACGCGCAAACTATTAATTAGAACTGCATGTTCCATTTGTCACGAAGCGGGCAAGCGAGATTTTTTTTTTTTTTAATCGGGTCCAATAAAATTGTTGAATATAGGAATAAATTTAATTTGAAATGTGAGGTGATTAGTGAGGCTTGGAGATGAAATCGAAAGTAGAGGAAATAGGAGACAAGAACGTTTATGATTGGTTTGGGTTTCGACCTCTCTGAATAGGACTTGTCCTTTTCATCAATTATGCCACCAAAATTTAATCAATCAAACATATATCCATTTGAAAACGACATCTTATTTCAACATTATCGATTTTAAATTATATAAAAAATAGTATGTCGGATTGTTTCTAAAGATTAATAATGTTGCACGGTTAAAATAAATAGCGACATATACATGTAATTCAAGACGTCAGCATGCATGAATCTTTCATAATGTTCTTGAAGATGTTTCTTTTGAATCGTATTCCTTTTTATTGGGGGTGGACGTTTCGATACGATATTTTAGAATCGAACCGTAGCAAAGTGAAAAATATGATACCGTTCCCAAAACGAATTATCCAAAATTTTCAGACGACAATTTTTTTTTATAAAATCGAATTTTTTAAAACCGAACCAAATCGATTTTTTAAAAAATTCGAAAAACCGAAAAGTTGTCAAGGATATCTCATTTTTTTTAATTAAAAACCGAACTGAATTGAAACTGAATCGAACCGAATATGAAATAATAATCGATTGATATATATTTTAGTAAAATCGAAAGAATCTGTACTGTTTATCCGGAATCTGTGAAATGTCGATCTTGACGAACTCGCACAAACCCTAAACCTCCGATTCCAGGAACGACGAACACTCGAATATGAAAGAACGAAAGACACACAAGAACACAAGGATTTACGAGTTCAGATCAACCAGTGTAGTTGATCCTACGTCTCGGGGGGAGAGAGATTTCACTATGAATGAACTTGGTACAGATACAAGCTCGCGTAAAGAATCAGAGAGAGAATGCTAAAGAAAATCGTATATACTCTTCTTTTTTGGACTCAGAAGAAGTGGCGTCCTTTTTATCTTGAGACGATGACCAAAGCCTCTGGCTCTTCCCAAGGTTTTCAGCAGCTTGAAACCTTCTGACTCATTTAGAGTCTTCTTATGCTTTAACAGATTCA